GGGGGGGGAACCACAACCCACAAACCCAAACACCAAAATCAACTTTTCCTGAAGCAGAAATAATTTCCTCCTGTATTGCTACCATAACAAACACAGAAGCCTTTCCAAAGTGAATAAAGGATTGGAAAACGGAGCATAACTTGTTCTATTCAAGCAAGACAGGCTGGTCAGTCAAAGCTCTGTGCCTGGCAAGATCACTGAACAGATCCTCCTGGAAACTATGCTAAGGTACATTAGAAAATAAGGAGGTGACTGGTGACAGCCAACACGGCTTCACCAGGGGCAAATTGTGCCTTGCTGGTCTTCTATGACAGAGTTACAGCGTTGGTGGATAAGGGAAGAGCAGGTGACATCAGCTACCCGAACTTGTGCAAAGCTTTTGACACTGTCCTGCATGACACCCTTGTGTCTAAATTGGAGAGACATGGATTTGATGGAAGGACCACTCAGTGGATAAGAAGTTGGCTGGATGGTTGCACTCAAAGAGCTGTGGTCAATGGCACAGTGTCGAAGTGGAGACTGGTGATGAGTGGCGTTCTGCAGGGATCAGTGTTAACATCTTTGTTGAAGACATGGACAGTGGGATCGAGGGTACCCTAAGCAAGTTTGACAACGACAACAAATGCAGTCGACATGCTAGAGGGAAGGGATGCCATCCAGAGGGACCTGGACAGGCTTGAGAGGTGGGCCCCGTGCAAACCTCATGAAGTTCAACAAGGCCAAGTGCAAGGTCCTGCACGTGGGTCGGGGCAATCCACAGCAGAAATACAGGCAGGGCAGAGAACGGATTGAGAGCAGCCCTGAGGAGAAGGACTTGGGGGTGCTGGTTGATGAAAAGCTCTATGTGAGCTGGCAATGTGGACTTGCAGACCAGAAAGCCAACCGTGTCCTGGCCTGCATCAAAAGAAGTGTGACCAGCAGGTCGAGGGAGGTGATTCTCCCCTTCTACTCTGCTCTCGTGAGACCCCATCTGGAGTACCCGGTCCAGCTCTGGAGTCCTCAGCACAGGAAAGACAGGGACCTGTTGGAGCAAGTACAGAGGAGGGCCACGAGGATGGTCAGAGG